GCATTGTGGGAAAATTCTACTACCAGTCGTTCATGACCTTACACGAAATAGGATGAATACATCTCATTACACTCATTAACTGGTAGTCTCAAAACCCTACTTGCATACGAATATAAGCGAATAGGACACAAAACGGCTCTGGCCACTCGGAGCAACAAGGACAGACTACGTCTTTTATTGGCAAAGCGATGTGAACTAAGCAACTAGGTCAAGTGTAAAAGTGAAGAAGATGTTCTAGAAAATGACAAGACTGTCAATTCTCGTAAGTGGGGATAGATGGGCGATTGGCGAAGATGAATCGAGAGGTTTAGGGGCTAGACGGCTCCAGGCTCCCGTTCCCTCACTCCCTCCCTCCCTCCTCAATCGAGGCTGTCGAAGACGTTGGCATGGCTACAGGAAAAATGTCCGCTGGCGAGTTTTGCTCGAAGGGCTGCGGACAAACGCGTGTGCTACACGTTGGCATGGTTGGAGTCGACCGAAGCGTGTGACGAGTGGAGCGTGTGCGCTTGTGAAGGCCTGAGCAACGGAGTGTCGAGAGGCGAGGGGGTGCACGGAGAGGACTGGTGCAGGCGGAGCGTGAGATCGCAGAGATTGGGCTTCTTCGGCGGCGGCAGCGGCGGCGGATTGCGCGACTTGGTCGCCGTGACGACGAGACAGCCGGAGGCGGCGCGAGCGGACTGGAGGGAGCGGCGGTCCGGCGCCTCGAGGAAGAGGCAGTGCTCCGGAGGCAGCCAGTCGAGCCGTCCGTGCGGCGTGCGGACGGCGCGCACGAGGCCCTGCTCGAGGCCGCGCAGAAACGGCAGTCGCCAGACGACGGGCCGGTTCGAGGCCGAGCGCGCGAGCGGCTCGACGACGGCCAGAGCCCCGGTTGCGGGGTCGAGCAAGCCGAGGTGGAGAGCCTCGCGCAGGCTGAGCCAGGCGGGGGCGCGCGACGCGCCAATCCACGCCTCGACCGGAGGCTCGTCCGTGTCCTGGCCACTCTGGGCTCGAGTCGCGCCGGAGCCGGCCGAGGCCGCAGGGCGCGGGCCGAGGTCGACCAGCGAAGAGGAGTGGCGGGGAGGGCGTCGCGGTTGCCCGGACACCGGCATCTGTTGTCGGCTGGCGGGTCTCGGAGCGGGGCTCGAGACGCCCGAGGCGGCAGTCGAGTCGGGCTGGGCGAAGGCGTTGAAGACGGCCTCGACGCGGAACACGACTGGCGGGTGACGATGGTACAGCGTCGAGCAGGCACGGCCCCGCCCCGTCCTCAGGCCCATGGTGATGGTCAACCGTCTTGGATGGAAAGAGAGGAAAAGCAAAGGACTCGGAATCAGCACTCTCGCGAGACTGTGCTCGTCTGCTGGCGCTTCTTCACATCATTACAAGCAGCCACTGCTTGCCGATCGAATGACCACGGCCTCGGCGCTTAATCCTGTCGCCAGGGCGACTGCTGCTTCCTTCGCCATTGTTGTCGTCTACCCTTCGCGGAAGCCTCGTCGCCAACGGGTCCCGACTCCGAGGCCGGCAGAAGACGTGGCAACAATGGCGGAGGATGCGTTGCTGGATGGCTTCTTCGAAGCCGCTCTGGCGGCACGACAAGCACGACAACTGCAAGCGAGTCTGGCGCCATTCGTCGGATCGCATGGCATCGCACCGATTCCGTGTCACGTGGACATTTCGAGGTGACGGACCCTCAGGAGGACATCTCTTATCCTCACTCGTGTGCACTTTGCACTCACGACCAATCGGATCCACGTCGCCCGGGCACATCATGCAAGGTCATCCGGCAGGAACCAATCAGAAGCCAGTACAAATACACACATCAAACGATAAAGTAGGTCTTAAGAGACCTTGACTGAAGTGATCGTCGTCATTGACCCAGTCTCCATTTCGTGTACAACATCTTGTATAACGACGATTTGCGGTACCGTTTCCTTCTGTTGCCAAGTGAACAAAAAGACTTCATTCTTGCTCAAAGCAATAGCAGAACAAGCGGAAACCGAGCGTTGATTTTGTGCACCCAGACGACACAATTGAGCAAATCATCTCCACAATCGCTAACCTTGCTTACAGAATCACGCTTTATGCTTAAATGTTTGAGCTCTGTCAAGATACTACTCGTCAATGGCCCAAGCTTGATGATGTCTGACTCTGTAAACACTCTTTTATGGGAGAAAGTGATGAACAAAAAGCAAAGTGTTAGTTCAGAACTTAAGGCGGCAGGCGTCCTCGCCTGGAGTTGGTTAAGGCCGTGTCCAAAACCGCTTCAGTCTCGAGTTCTCATTGGTCCCCAAAATACCATCCAATAGGAAGCTGGCGTATCCGGGTGGCGATAATATGATTGGTCAAGAATTGTGATGCAGGGGTCAGGATAAACGGGGGTCTTGTCGAAACGAAAAAGTAATGATAAATTGAAGCAATTTCGTGCAACCAGACTAATTAGGACAGGGTGATTGAAATGTCGGAGGAAATGAGATGATTAACCGGGACAACAGACAAAAACTATCGAAATGAAGATATGAAGACCAAGATGTTGTGGCCTCTGGTGTGGTCGCAGTCTCCTTTCGATTGATAGAAGTGG